TCGCGAAATCCAGGGGTAAATCGAGACGATCGTCCATCGCTAGATACGACACTCGCGATTCGCGACACTCACGATTCGCGACATTCGCGATTCGCGACACTCGACACAGACTGCGCGAAACACACGTTTGAAGAATGACAGCTCGCGAAAACAAACACTCGCACGCGCGAAGCGATGGACTTCGGTTGCAAATATTCGCGGTAGACGCGTTCGCGTAATCCAGGTGGTAAATCGAGACGATCGTCCATCGCTAGATACGACACTCGCGATTCGCGACACTCACGATTCGCGACATTCACGATTCGCGACACTCGACACAGACTGCGCGAAACACACGTTTGAAGAATGACAGCTCGCGAAAACAAACACTCGCACGCGCGAAGCGATGGACTTCGGTTGCAAATATTCGCGGTAGACGCGTTCGCGTAATCCAGGTGGTAAATCGAGACGATCGTCCATCGCTAGATACGACACTCGCGATTCGCGACACTCGCGATTCGCGACATTCGCGATTCGCGACACTCGACACAGACTGCGCGAAACACACGTTTGAAGAATGACAGCTCGCGAAAACAAACACTCGCACGCGCGAAGCGATGGACTTCGGTTGCAAATATTCGCGGTAGACGCGTTCGCGTAATCCAGGTGGTAAATCGAGACGATCGTCCATCGCTAGATACGACACTCGCGATTCGCGACACTCGCGATTCGCGACATTCGCGATTCGCGACACTCGACACAGACTGCGCGAAACACACGTTTGAAGAATGACAGCTCGCGAAAACAAACACTCGCACGCGCGAAGCGATGGACTTCGGTTGCAAATATTCGCGGTAGACGCGTTCGCGTAATCCAGGTGGTAAATCGAGACGATCGTCCATCGCTAGATACGACACTCGCGATTCGCGACACTCACGATTCGCGACATTCACGATTCGCGACACTCGACACAGACTGCGCGAAACACACGTTTGAAGAATGACAGCTCGCGAAAACAAACACTCGCACGCGCGAAGCGATGGACTTCGGTTGCAAATATTCGCGGTAGACGCGTTCGCGTAATCCAGGTGGTAAATCGAGACGATCGTCCATCGCTAGATACGACACTCGCGATTCGCGACACTCACGATTCGCGACATTCACGATTCGCGACACTCGACACAGACTGCGCGAAACACACGTTTGAAGAATGACAGCTCGCGAAAACAAACACTCGCACGCGCGAAGCGATGGACTTCGGTTGCAAATATTCGCGGTAGACGCGTTCGCGTAATCCAGGTGGTAAATCGAGACGATCGTCCATCGCTAGATACGACACTCGCGATTCGCGACACTCACGATTCGCGACATTCACGATTCGCGACACTCGACACAGACTGCGCGAAACACACGTTTGAAGAATGACAGCTCGCGAAAACAAACACTCGCACGCGCGAAGCGATGGACTTCGGTTGCAAATATTCGCGGTAGACGCGTTCGCGTAATCCAGGTGGTAAATCGAGACGATCGTCCATCGCTAGATACGACACTCGCGATTCGCGACACTCACGATTCGCGACATTCACGATTCGCGACACTCGACACAGACTGCGCGAAACACACGTTTGAAGAATGACAGCTCGCGAAAACAAACACTCGCACGCGCGAAGCGATGGACTTCGGTTGCAAATATTCGCGGTAGACGCGTTCGCGTAATCCAGGTGGTAAATCGAGACGATCGTCCATCGCTAGATACGACACTCGCGATTCGCGACACTCGCGATTCGCGACATTCGCGATTCGCGACACTCGACACAGACTGCGCGAAACACACGTTTGAAGAATGACAGCTCGCGAAAACAAACACTCGCACGCGCGAAGCGATGGACTTCGGTTGCAAATATTCGCGGTAGACGCGTTCGCGTAATCCAGGTGGTAAATCGAGACGATCGTCCATCGCTAGATACGACACTCGCGATTCGCGACACTCGCGATTCGCGACATTCGCGATTCGCGACACTCGACACAGACTGCGCGAAACACACGTTTGAAGAATGACAGCTCGCGAAAACAAACACTCGCACGCGCGAAGCGATGGACTTCGGTTGCAAATATTCGCGGTAGACGCGTTCGCGTAATCCAGGTGGTAAATCGAGACGATCGTCCATCGCTAGATACGACACTCGCGATTCGCGACACTCACGATTCGCGACATTCACGATTCGCGACACTCGACACAGACTGCGCGAAACACACGTTTGAAGAATGACAGCTCGCGAAAACAAACACTCGCACGCGCGAAGCGATGGACTTCGGTTGCAAATATTCGCGGTAGACGCGTTCGCGTAATCCAGGTGGTAAATCGAGACGATCGTCCATCGCTAGATACGACACTCGCGATTCGCGACACTCACGATTCGCGACATTCACGATTCGCGACACTCGACACAGACTGCGCGAAACACACGTTTGAAGAATGACAGCTCGCGAAAACAAACACTCGCACGCGCGAAGCGATGGACTTCGGTTGCAAATATTCGCGGTAGACGCGTTCGCGTAATCCAGGTGGTAAATCGAGACGATCGTCCATCGCTAGATACGACACTCGCGATTCGCGACACTCGCGATTCGCGACATTCGCGATTCGCGACACTCGACACAGACTGCGCGAAACACACGTTTGAAGAATGACAGCTCGCGAAAACAAACACTCGCACGCGCGAAGCGATGGACTTCGGTTGCAAATATTCGCGGTAGACGCGTTCGCGTAATCCAGGTGGTAAATCGAGACGATCGTCCATCGCTAGATACGACACTCGCGATTCGCGACACTCACGATTCGCGACATTCACGATTCGCGACACTCGACACAGACTGCGCGAAACACACGTTTGAAGAATGACAGCTCGCGAAAACAAACACTCGCACGCGCGAAGCGATGGACTTCGGTTGCAAATATTCGCGGTAGACGCGTTCGCGTAATCCAGGTGGTAAATCGAGACGATCGTCCATCGCTAGATACGACACTCGCGATTCGCGACACTCGCGATTCGCGACATTCGCGATTCGCGACACTCGACACAGACTGCGCGAAACACACGTTTGAAGAATGACAGCTCGCGAAAACAAACACTCGCACGCGCGAAGCGATGGACTTCGGTTGCAAATATTCGCGGTAGACGCGTTCGCGTAATCCAGGTGGTAAATCGAGACGATCGTCCATCGCTAGATACGACACTCGCGATTCGCGACACTCGCGATTCGCGACATTCGCGATTCGCGACACTCGACACAGACTGCGCGAAACACACGTTTGAAGAATGACAGCTCGCGAAAACAAACACTCGCACGCGCGAAGCGATGGACTTCGGTTGCAAATATTCGCGGTAGACGCGTTCGCGTAATCCAGGTGGTAAATCGAGACGATCGTCCATCGCTAGATACGACACTCGCGATTCGCGACACTCGCGATTCGCGACATTCGCGATTCGCGACACTCGACACAGACTGCGCGAAACACACGTTTGAAGAATGACAGCTCGCGAAAACAAACACTCGCACGCGCGAAGCGATGGACTTCGGTTGCAAATATTCGCGGTAGACGCGTTCGCGTAATCCAGTTGGTAAATCGTGACGATCGTCCATCGCTACATTCGACACTCGCGATTTGCGGCACTTGACCTAAGCTTCATTAAGCACCTGTTTGGAGACATCTCGCGACAAATACTGGAACGCGCTAGTTAAGAATAATCGTGATACGAGACCGCGTAATTTAATCGAGATGGATCATGATGGTCAGCCATCTTTAATTTTGACACTCCCGACTTGTACATAATGTTAAAAAATATTTGGGACACTTGTCGTAGAATATACGACACAAGTATTTTTTTTGAACTTCTATAAAATTAACACTGCATTTTTCAAAATATCGATATTTAATTAATGTATATTATTCATATTGATATTTATTAATTTTTGTCAAAAAATAATCTTACTATTTTGTACTTTCGACATTTTTTTACGTGTAACAAAATTCTTCCAATCAAATATCGATTATCAATACATATTCACCTGCACTTGCTCGATTCTTTTATTCGGCATTCCCTATATGTATGCATAGTAGTTCATATATTGAAATATATTCATTCGTATCATGCTTGCATTAAAATACCGATACGATATTTTTCGATACACACTCCCGAAATTCATAATTATATTTCCAGTCCATGATTTATAAACGCATAAATACATCGATGGCTCACTGATTTCGTAATGCTCAATTGCCCACCGATCGTCGTTTGACGAGTAACGGATGCACAAACGTATAACCGATTTATATGAAAATAACCAAAATATTTATCGAAGAAAACGCTCGACAAAGTCTCATCGTGTATTCACCGATTCACATCGATCGTTATTAATCGCGAGATCACTTTCGAGACTGTGCTCGAATATTCTTCTCGACGCTTCCAAAATTCACGTACGCGTAATGGCGGCCATTCGGCGACTAGCGAAGACTAGTACGACTACTAGGGCAGCCTCCTTTGTCGAGACTCTCGTTGCACAATCTCGACGAGACATTTGTTCACGCACCGACTAAATATCACTGTTATTCCCAAAAGATACTTAATCTCGACGTAATCGCGACGATTGCCCGATAATTTGCTCTATATTTGCGACAATCGCCACTCGGTAACTAACAAAAGTGCGAGAACTTTTGAACCGTTAAATTCAAGAGTATAGCATAAACGTCGAATGCATAGATTGATAATGCATAGACGGTAAAAAAACTAACCAATCACGGGTCTAATACGAAGGGCCCAACAATATGGCGGTCTTCATACTCGACGCGTGATTGGTCAATATTTTACGTGATTTATGTATTGTTCGAAGATGCGAAAGCGCTCGTAGTAAGTGACGCGTTAACCAATTAATTCCTCGCTTTTCCGTAAGAGTGAGTGACGTCACCTTTTATCGCGCTTGCAAGCGTTCCTGCGCCCTGCCTGCACAATAATTCGAAGGGCCCATAATTACGACGAAATCGAAGTAAGTCATATTGTATTCTAGCTAAAGTTTAATTCGACATTCCCTGGTGTATCTTGTAGTATTTGACAGTGCGATTAGAATAAACATGAAAAAAGTCGTTTACATCGTGTTTTACACGGAGCCCGCCATTTTCCAAGTCTTGTTGATATTCAGTAACATGACACGACATGTTCGCGGATTTCAATATTAGAAGTCTCCGAAACGAGAAGGTAATTGTTATTCAATATCACGCATTTTCATTTAGCTGTGTTTATCCAATTAGTTTTCTATTGGAATATATATTTCTCGGAAACGTGCGTCCGATAGACATGTCTAAAGCACGCAGACGTAACTGTGTTTGTGTATGTTGCATCTCTCTGTCCCGCATCAATTCCGCCGACAGTCTCTTAGGATTTATTACAGTTTTTTATTAATAAATGCTTTGCGGTTCACGTGTTTTTTAAAGAAAAGAAGGTTTACGCGTTTGTGTGCATATGCGATACTGTGTCGCGCTAATTCCAGGAATAGACGTATAATAAGCCCCTTTCTTTTCTCGATCGGAAACAAATGAACGTGAACGGTATTGAATTAATATATCGAATAATGCTTGTGTAATGTTTTTCTCTCGCTAATGTATGTAATAATCATCCATCGATTGATAATAATCGGTTTGTGAATATTAAGTTTATTGAAAGTGAAATATCCGTTAATAATTTTTTCGCAATAATCTTTCGAAATTACTCGCGCGATTTCCGCGGGAAGAGATTCACAATGTGTATGCAAAAGTAAATAAGCTTGAAAAGTGTAATATTCGATCGCATAGCGCGTAAATTTGCACGCGATCGTAATCGAATGCATTTTCGCAATTTATCCGTATGTGTGTGTGACTGAATTTTCTTCGTGAAATTTTAAAGCAAATAAAAAATAATAGGGACATATTTGCAGGTGTGTAATTGTTGGTGAGTGAATTATTCCATAATTTTTCTTCCTCATTCCGCGCAAACATAACAAAACATGCTCGAAACAATTTCAAGCATGAAATTTAAAGGGAATTTAAAATTGTATTTTGTCCTTTTTGAGCGAGGATAAAAATGTATTTTCATAAAAAAGATAATTTCTCATTGCTATCATTACTGTTACATTATTTATTGCAGAAAAAAATAAACAATTAAATAAGAAATTAATAACAATTTTCGATAAAAATTTTTTTTCGAATTTTTTTTTAAATTCTTGCTTTTTTTTTTAATTAAATTATTTTGTATTTTTGAAGAGATACAAGAGGAAGAGGGAAGCTTACGAGTGATGTTTTTTAATCATTGAAATAGATTTCGTACAGAAAATTATGTAGATTAAATTTTGCGGTTATATTACGCAACTGTTACCCGCCTCGTGACACACATACTAATGACGGCGGGGAAAAGGGACGGTACGATTGAAAATAATGTTTACGATCGAAGTGCGCGTTTAAAAAAGAAAAACAAAGAGGGGAGAAAAAATAACAATGCGCGATGTTACGATATATTTTGCGCGTGCACGTCACGGCGCTGTTATTCGGGGTAACGCAAACAGATTTAAATGTTTCGTATGATTTTGCACCAGATTTTAATTACTCGTCACGTGCCGGCCATCAGGTCGTTTATGCAATGTCGACGATACGGCCAGACCATCGGACGGCTTTCCGAGTTGGTCGTGGAAAATGCGATGAGCGCGCTGGATAACGAAATTTCGTGATAGTTTCATCGACGCGCAACGTTGGCTTGACGTCTTAACCGAGTTAGTCCCGGTAGACAATAAAATTGCGTCCACCTAGTTTCCCTATCGCGATGTGATTTTTCCCCGAGTTGAATTTTTTTCTCTTATTATGAATTATATAGAAAACAAACAAATTATTCTTTATTTTAATATTTTCGACATAAAATAGAATTAATTATTGTATTGTATTTGTATTTGATTTGTAATTAATTATTCTTCTATTAATTATTTGTATTTCACATTGAGAATCTTATTAATTTCTAATTTTAATTATTCTCGTTATGCAATAAATTTAATTTAATATTAATCCCTCACTATGAATTAAAAATTACCTGCATATTAAAATAATATTCTTGTATAATAGATTCACTAATGTTATGAAAATGTTATATAAATTAAATTTTTATACATCTATATATAAATAATATTATTGTATATTATATAATATTATTGTATATATTATAAATAACATTATTATAATATTTGATATATTATAATATAATATTACAATAAAATATAAAATAATATAAAATAATTATAAGTAACAAAGTTATAAATAAAATTTGCAAACCAATCCAGTTAAATAGCTGTAATTAAATTGTATAACTAGAATAATAATTTAATCCTGTAATTTTCTGTTAATTCAGCTACAATCAAATTTCATATTAGATATATCTTTTAATTAATATAATTATTATATGATATTGTGTGTTGTATGTATATAATATTCCGTAAACAGATCTCCCCCCCCTCTCTCTCTTTCTCTCTCTTTCTCTCTCTCTCTCTCTTTGAAACGTTATAAGTAGATTAGCGATAACTGTAATACTATATAATACTTTATATTTTGACGCCGTGCTGCTTAACATGCGACTCTCGCCCTACCTACATTATTGTCCACTTCCTTTTATAGAAAAACAGAAATATCGTATAACGCTCTGAAATATTTTCTCGATTTTAAAACCTTTTCAAATGTTACAATATATCAAAAAGTTCGTCACGCAGTAACTCTAGAATTCGATCTTAAAAGGCAGAAAAATAGCAACGATATGTAAGCGGATTCGCTCTTTCAAATTCCGCGGAGATACGCGTTTATTCGAGGCGCTAAGTGGAAGATATCTCGATTTTCCAACAATACAATCGTGCAAGTAGAGAATATAAATGATGTGAATTTGCGACTTGCGTTCGAAATGCTAATAAATAAATTATTATACAAAACTAACAACATGAAATATATTTATATTTGACTGCGACGAGTTCTATCTGTTATTTATCGGCACGTTATCTGCAAGAAAATTTATAGAATATTGTCAAATTTTTCAATTGTTTGTTCCAATAATGAGATTCTAACATCAAAAATATGATCAGTAAATGCAGTCAGTTTGACAGTGAAAATATTTATTGATCTTTGAATGTGAAATATAAAATCATTTATGAAATATTTAATATTCAACAAATTCACTTTTATATTTTACGATTTGTGACTGACTGAAATCGGCAAATATTCGTAAATTTAAAACCATAGATTCCGCGTGTCACACATGTCATGTAAATCATTAGACAGTAATTAAGGGCAAAAGAGAGTGCAATCGTGCGAAACAAAATCAATTATGGCGGTATAATTATTACAATTTAATAGCGTTCACAGCTTGAAATAATGATTGCCCGCGGTAACGATCATTGGAGGAACTTTAATTATGTGCCAATTACATCGGCCATGCTGATAACGCACCGGGGCTAGAACGCGATTTAAACTATGCGGCGCGAAATCCCTTGTGGATTTTAATTTATTCCTTCGTGACGACTGATGAATTCACCCGCGACCACCAGCCGCGATAAAACAATGCTGATAAACATTTAATCGAAATTATTGCGGTAATGATATTTGCCATTATATATAACTAGCCGTTTGATATCATATATTTTTCAAAATCAAATATCGAATTACTCAAGTGACAATTCACGAGTGCAACACATACTGCACACTGATGATCTGCCAATGGATATCGTCGAAATGTCGTTTCACCGAGTTGGCTTCGCAATTTTTTGCCATTAAATCAGAAGCGAACGATCAGAATTTCGATATTCACTACGGAAACGTCGGCTGACGACGAGCAATCCGATGATATGAGAGGACATTTTTTCGTTAATTTATCTACTGTCTCACATATTGCTTTCGTACATTTCGCTTTTTAAATGTATTTTTCTGAATATTAAATAGAATTAAATTTCCACTGAAATAATGTCATTTCAAATTAATCAATTATATTATATAATATAACATTATTATTTATTATCTCTTCTAAAGGTTTCATTTGCCGGAAAATTCCAAATAATATTTTCCATATGCAAAAACTGAATATTCTTCAATATTCTTCAATTTTCGTTCAGAAAATAAATAAACCTACAAGAAATCTGTCAAAAAATAATACGTTAAAAATAGATCATTCTCTTGTCAATACTTGTTTTATTTTTAATGTACGTCTCATCTTTGTCAGAGGCCGATATCTTTACACATAATTTTTTAAATACTTTTTAAATACTTTCGTTATATCGATTTAAGTTAAAATTTTCAACAACGCTTGTCTTTGCTAAAAAAACTCTCGCAATACAAACACGAAAACTTTATTATATGATAGGATCACGCAGGGAAAGAGAGAGAGAGAGAGAGAGAGAGAGAGAGAGAAGAAAAAGAGAGAGAAAGAAAAGTTTGCAGTTCGATAAAAAACCAACGATGCGACATTGTGGCAACAGAAAAATCTCTGTTTTACAAGAATCGGTTTTGCTTCCGTTTCGCTTGTTCAATGTAAACATTCGCTATGTTTTGGTTGTATAACAATTTTCGTAACAAGTATTAAACGTGTTTTATCTACCGTGAAATTATCCTAGCTATAATTCAACGAGGCTACATCGCGCTTTTTTTCAGGTAAATATTTTTATGCGTGCTTATTATTGCGCGCGACACATATCGTAAACTGTACGATACAATATTTCGAAAAATCTGTCTGTTGGATTATGTACATGACTAGACAGTTAACTGCATCATAAAATATTTTCTTGTGCAAGATAGTTCATACAATCTAATTTTTTTACGAGACCTATGTTTTTTTAACGTTATTACAGAATTGTTTAACTCGATGCGTGTGAATTTTATTTACATTTTTGAATTCCAACGAAATTTAATCCTTCAGTTCGTATCTCTAAAATGTGAATTATCACATTATTATTATTATCATCATAATCGGATATTAAATTAATTTGCGCATTACGTATTTTAATATTAATATGAAAAAGCGAAAGGATAATAATTCATTTTTGATATTAATTCGATCTGCTATTAAAATACTTTTGATATTCGTGATACCGCAAGCTTCCTTTTATTAGGAAACAAGAGAGGAGAAGAGATTACGCGTCCATTATAAGCACATCCATGATTGAATAGATTATACATTGTCCAGAGAAGATTAACGTAACACGATAGTTCATAGCTGATGCTCAATTAAATTACTAATTTAATTTTAATTTGATTTTTTGTTGCAGCATCGATGCTAGAGGCCGAGAATTCGGTATTGCCGAAAGATGGTCGGACAATAATGTGTTCTCGCATCGCGCATATTTCATGTTGGATAAAAAACCAGCGCTGTTGGGCATCGAAAATATCAGAGAAGAGGACGCCGGAATTTACAGATGCCGCGTTGATTTTCAAATCGGCCAAACAAGGAACTCTAAAGTCAATTTAACAGTAATCGGTAAGTTTTTATTTTCATTATCAGTTTGTTAAGAAAGAAAATATTATAAAATGTAAAAAGTTGTTTGCTTCAAAATATTCATCCAGAAATGTTGTGTACAATACGTTCAATCGATAGATCGCTAAACCAATATAATTATTCGTAAACGGTTCTCCTAGTTATTGATTCAATTAGATTTGTCCAATCAATTAGCCGGACTTTACACCCTCTCGCGCGATTACAAGGTTTTTGCAATAGTCGTCGCGTTCAAAGATACAGAATAGCTCGAAATCACGTTTTACAAGGGATAGTAACATAAATCCAAGATGGAAATTGGAAAGTTTTTGCAACTCTTTACGTCAGATACATGTTGATATTTTGTAAACAGGACAAAATCTTAAATTAGCTTAGTAATTCTATTTTGGATTTATGTTGTTATTATCTGAAACGCGATAAATTCCTCGTTTAGCTCCTTATTTTTACTTATAGTAATGAGGAAGTATTCCAAGAGGATCGTTTCAAGTAAGCGAAGCCAATTGTAACTTTGTCGGAGTTTCTCCCTGTACATAATTATGTCTCTCATTAATATCTAATTAGCCGCTCGAGCGCTCAGTCACTCGATGTATATTACGATTATGCTAAAAATGACATGAAAGTTTTACAGCCTTCGTATAAAGTATTGCCTTGAAGTTACGTGTCATCGTACTTTTGCAACTTTATTCTTGTAAAACTTATATTACTTATATATAAGAGCATAAGATTGATAACGTCGATTTGAGGTTTATTCCCCAAAATCACCACAAAAAAGATTTTTAAAATTAAAGCCGTTTAATATATTTGATAAAATGCGTAAAATAGCGGCTATGAATCAAGTTATAAACATGCATACAAATAATAATTAATTTTACAACGATAAAATTATTTTATATAATTTTTGCAAAAATTATATATAATGTTAGCTAAGAAAATATTTACATAAGTTATTTTAAATATTAATCATTAAAATTTTTTCATTAATTCTCTCTATTTACGCAGTTCTATATATTTTTCAAGCTTTTAAGCTCTAGTAAAACTTTTTAATGAAACTTTAATTTTTGTATTTTTACACTAAAAATGTAATTTAAATGAGTGAGTTTAAAAAAAAGTCTTCTTATTCGACTCAAATTAAATCGTAAACTCTGATAAAAATACTAATTAAAAGTCAGTATTTTTAAAACTTATTCTTTTTTAAACTATATTTTAACGTTACGCCTCATTTCCATTGTCGTTAGACGTGACAGGCATTTTCAGTGCGCCAACAATAGAATCGTAAAACGACGATTAAAGCAATATAATAAATTCGAAATAAAGTAAACGATCATTGGGGCGAAACGAACATACGAGGAATAAAAGAAAAAAAATGAGAGAAAGAGAGAGAGGTGACAGAACATAAGCCAAGAGGAAAAAAAGAATCCAATTAACAATCCTGTTGAAAAGTTATGGAAACGCCAACAGATGAACGTGCGTCACTTCTCGGATTCGCCGTTGGCTGGCATGCGCCAAGGAATTTTTCCCGCTGGATAATTAGCTTCTCCTGGGTTCCCTCCTGACTCACTGACATTTCGCACATCCCTGCTAGGAGCCATGCTTATTCGTAGACACTTCAGCCGTTGGTAAAGCTTTTCCAGATGAATGCCAATTAACGTGCCTTTACTCCCATCGCGCTTTCGCCAGCAAAATTGCACATTGCTATCTTTTGCTCTTTTTCCCGTACAACATAATGTATGGAATGCCTCAACAGTGATGGTATATCTCTTTTATGATTCTTGGAAAAATATATAATCAATTTTATACAATCTATTCTACAGATTGTTTAATTCTTTATTTTTTAATAATAATTTTAAAATACTAACAGAGATGAAAAATATCTTAAAGAAAGTTTGAAATTGTAACTATCTCTTCTATATTTATTTTTAAATTTTCATAATTTTTTCGTTTTATATTTTATAAAGATTTGAAAAAAAATATATATATAATATATTTAAATAATTTTTAACGGAATAAAAAACAAACGTTGAAACAATAATAATTATCAAAGATATATAATCATGATAAATTAAATTCTATTATAACTTTCAGTGCAGTTATTCGACTGAACACAACCATTTAGTTTTGAGATTTATTGTAAAATAGAACTTTAAACTATAATATTTCACAGTTTAATTGCTAACAATAATCCTCAAAAAGGCAGTAATGAGAACAACGATATTTATGCATATACATAACATAGTTATTAACTACGATGAACAACGAGTGCTCACGATGTAGGAGAGAGAAATTAAGCAAGGTGCAATTAAATATCTCGCATTCGAATTTATTAAATCGCACTTCTTTATGTCCGAGTTCATTTATTTGCGCTTTCTCATCAGACTCAAACACGGAAAAGCATGTGCACCAAATAAACGAAGAGAAACAAGATAAAAGTGTTCGAAAAGCACTCGAATCAGACGCACGAGAATAAGAATAGTTAATGAACGAGGATAAGGGGGCAACTCGATAATTGATAGCGACATTTTTTTTTTACAAATATAATTTTATTTAAAAAATATGAATATTTAAATCTTTATTTCTAAAACAAATTTTTGATCTTACGAAAGATAAAATTGTAATTAAATTTTTTCAATTTTAAAATAGTAATGTATAATGAAATATTTTTATTGATAAAAAAATATATTTTATTTAAAAGTGAAAATATAATTTAACATGGTGTTGTGAAAATTTGACATGGATAAGCTTTGAAAGAAATTCTTTTTGTCAATGCCACAAACATTCGTAAAAATATCCAACTTACCATATTTTTCGCCAAGGATACCGGTACCTGTATCACAACAAGTCGCTATATCGAGAAACTTTGTATTTGACAGTGGTTTTTAGTAAAAAAATAAAAAGAATAGAGAAAAGAGTGAAAAGTTTTGTACAGTCAACGGGCAGCAGACCTTTGGCTTGAAGTTAAAGCTTCGGTAAACGAGGGCATTTATCGTACCAAGACGGTGCGACGGTTCCCGTTTCGGCCGAACGAGAAATACAAGGTATTCCAGTTCCGAAAGTATAGAATGTAATTCGATAAATTTTCCGCGAGATAGCAATGATTTTCAGAGCGCCATACCTCGCAATTTCTGTCGGCCAATATTGACATTTCAATGCGGATAATACGCATATGCGAGTAGACATAAATTTTGTACATTTTATAATTTTGCAAATTATTGACAACGTATTATTGGGAAATATTTGCAAATATTTTATCACATATTCTTTAGTAATTATTGAATTAATATCTCGGATTAATCAATTATTGAATTATTATATAATAATATATAATTTAATTATCACATGGTGAAACAAAAACGAGTTTCCTCGTATTTAATTTTATTATAATTACGTATCAATTTCAAAATTGGCTCTCTCTTTGTGATAAAAAAAAACAATTCGAATAAAGTATCTAAAAAGCCGGACACCGTTCAATGTATATTTATCAGTTTTCGTTTAAACAGAGATATTATATCATGCTTTAGGATTTTATAAAATACGAGCGAAGTAAAGATAAGGTGGTTCCCAAGTAACAACGGGGGAACCAGAAATCGTTGCAAAAACTCTAAAGAAATGGCGGCTCTTCGCATTAAGACTTCCTCGAAGTCGAGGTACAGAGAACGAGCGCATTTATCTTCTTGAACTGTTGTTTCTTTAAAATAAGGGAAGAAAGGAGCGGAAAAAGCTGCGAGAGCAGTTTCTTTTTACTCTAAAAAGAGATTATACATAACTTGATAATATAATAATAATATCTTCGTTTGCGGAACTGTCGTTGAGTTTTGTGATATATTCAACTTTGTAATCATGATAATCAAAAGCTTGTATAAAGGAAACTGCTGCACTGTTTCCTCGAGGTGAGAATGCAGTTTCTTCATTCTGTGAGTGTTTTCCTCACGTTTATGATGTGACGATGTAACACACGAATCCCATGTAAAGTGATGTTGTCTCATCTCACGTCTCTTCGCGCTATCTGATATCGTCGAGCCATGGAAACTCCATTTCCGACACCCGACAGTCGTTGCACATTCAACAATAAACATGGGGAAGGCTCTGTTTATATCACCATCAAGGAAAATATTCTGTTTCAAGTGCGAGGTATAGTGTCTCCATCGCCGCTTGTGCATTATGATTAATGCACGCCGACTATTTAAGAGTTTGTTGTGTGCTCGCGTCCTGATTAACGAGCAGTTTACTTACCGCGATGCTTTGTCATAGTTAAGTAAAATGGTTGCAGACGAGGAAACATGGAGAAAAAGGAGCCAATCTAAAATTTTGATTTAGTGAAATAAGAGAGTTTGTACGAAATTGGCATTTTATTTTTTAAGTTTTCGACTGTCATTCTTTGTTATAGAGATAAAGCAATTTTTATTCAAATAAATTTGCATAAAATCCTACGTAACAATTATACATAAAATTACAATAAAGCGACAAGATTTACTGATTGATAAACTTTGAAAAAAATTGTGATTAACAATGTTAAAATGATATCGCGAATATACGATACAATTGCTATGTTTAAATTATCGCATGAATAGTTTTGCAAAATAAACATCTGAATAACGAGACATAAAATTATCTTTTCACGGAAAAACAATTTTCATTTTTAGACGTTTTCTTATAGTTGGAATTTTCGGACGATATGTTATTCGCTTTGACGCGCTAAACAAAAGAAGGAAAGCTGCAACATGCTCTCTTCCGGTGTAAAAGAGGGGAACTGTGTTATTTGGCATGTTTTTAGATGTGGAAGAACTTGTACGTTTTGCAGGGATATCCGTCACGATTTCCGCTACAGAATGTTGGTGTCAATATCACTGGTGTTCGACTTCCGATATTGGAGCAACAGTGTGACCAATTCTTCTCTGTTCGGTTACGTAAACCAGTGCAGAGTATTGAGTTCGGTGCAAAACAACAGACGTAATGTCGGATCGACAGCCAGTCGATACGCGATAGCACCA